TGTAATTATCTGCATATGAACAGTTTTACACAATGAAGGTACAATTAAAACAGAAACAGGGAATCATTTGCACGTTTTAAATTTACTTTAATCTATTGGAGACTTGAAAAGGAAAAGTGATAATATTCAAGATGTGACTACAAAGACAAAAAGCACACTGGCAACTATGAACCTTTTTTTAACTACAGTGACAAGGCGAAAAATGCAAAGGTATGGACATGTAATAAGATCTAACGGCCTCTCAAAAACAATATTGCAGGGCTCAGTAGAGGAAAAGAGGAGAAGAGGCAGACCAAGAAAGACCTGGGTACAGAACCTGACGGACTGGACAGGCCTCAGGCATGCAACCATGAAGTCCATTGCAACTGACCGCCAAAGATGGATAAAACTGATCAGACAACAGAAAGTGGTGATTCAACGACACGTAGGATTACGGGATGATGATGATTACAAAGGGAAAGTGACTTATGGACAGTACCGTTCCTTCAATGAAATACTCTGACCATATTAGATACCATTATACAGTGCAGACCATTCAAGGCATTCTCGGATGTGGCAAATTTCTGTTGTGAAGAGCAATTTGCTTTTCCTGGCAATTTTTTTTTTGCTTCAACTGGATAAGAACCATTTTTCAGGTCCTCAATGAGCTTACCTTATCAAATCTGCACTGTATTATCTACAGGAAATAAGAAGCGGAGAAACTCGTATTGTTCAGAATTTGAACACAGAGGGGGAGAGGCTCCAGGAGAGTGAATGTTTATCAGAGAGTAAAGGTTAAGTCAGGAATTGCACACGGTTACAAATCATAAATGCTCTGCCACCAGTACAGACAGCTGATAAGAAATTGTCCGCCTGTGTCGCCGTAAGCACGTAACTACAGCAACGTTCCTCCATTCACCCCGGAGTGTAAACTCTGGTACCCGTTTCCTAGAGGCTGGGTGAACCCTGGGAACCGCCCGGTTTCACACCGACCGTGGGCTGCAAGTCGCAGCTGGATTTGAAAGCGAACCTCCTATTGACTGCGCTAACACGACTACCTTTATCAGAGAGTGAAATAGTTTAACCATATTAAATACCATAATAGTTTGAACAGAACAGTAACGGAAGGTACAGTTCATATTAAGTTGTTCACCAAGCTATTACTATATTTAACACTACTCCTAAATTTCATTGTGTAAATAACAATCTATATTGTCAAAAACATTTAACAAATCACACACTAAGCATAAAAAATACGAAAGTTTAATATTAACAAGTAGCATCTTATCTAAAAAGTCTTTTGTGTATGCCTTAACAGGGTGGTGGCACATTATGTTGTGGCTGAAAGCTAGGCTGAGATATCAGCACCTTTCTGACCCAACAAATCTAATTTTAGCAAAACCCTAAAAAAATCCTCTTTAACAACATTCTTGTTTATAGGGAGGGGTGATTCTATTGCAACAAATACCCCCTCCCGGTCAGTGGAGCCCGGGGTAATGTAATGAGAAACATAAACATATACAAGACACTATTGTAAAAACTGATAATGCCATGCCTCATTAAGTATCAGATATTCTAACATTTCACACTCAATGTCAGAATCTAGGGGACATGCTGGTCATATTTCATCCTTTCTTTGATCACTGAGTTATAGATGAGGTCAGTGCTCTTGTTTTAGCCCCCATGCATTGTAGTCAAGCCATCCAAGTAAACAGACTCCCCTACCTCCCCAACAAGCATGTAACTGGGAGCTTCCTTCGAAATGGGGTGCATCTGCCAGAGAGGCAAGGGACCAGCAGTCTGCATAAAAAAATAATCGAGATCTGTAAAACTACCTGCATGCAACACACAGGTTCTGAAACAAGACTACTAAAGTCAGAAGGTGGACAACTAGAACTTTCCACCAGTTTATAGCCAGTGAATGAAAAGAAGAGGTAGAAGAAGCAAAGAACAGGTGGAAGAAGCAAAGGAGAGGTGAAAGAAGCAAAGAAGAGTCTTCAACATCCACAGAAGACACACAGCATTCCATTTCCTTCACAGAGGCCTGTGACCTTCTCATCTGAAAAACCACTAGCAGAGAGAATAAAAAGGAGACAATCTGAACACCAAGGACTGAGACATAACTCTGGTGGTGTAACTCTGAATAACTCTGCCATCTGATAAGGCTCATGATGAAGATAATAATGCTAATTTTAGCAACCAATGCCTCATTTTACAAAGCATCAAAACAGAACACATGCTGATTTATCATAAAAACATAAAAATTGTAAACATTATGTGGTAAGTTCTTGTTTCAGTCGTCCTGGTTGTACAATATGTCCTTCTGATGTTGAAGTTCTCCAAATCGTTTCTGTAGTTCCCGCTCTCTTTCCGTCTGCCTCTGTACATCTTCTGTCAGTGACTGTTAGAGGAAACAAAAAAAAACACTGGTTGAGGTATGCTGGGCAGAAAGAAAGATAGAGGGGGGAAAAAACTGTAAAAGTCCAGCAAAGGTCCCTTTACATGCCAGTGGCATTATGAGACTAGACTCACATTTTTATAGACCAATCGCCACTTAGTGGGTGATGTGGTCAACATTAGGCTGACCGACCACCTTTACCTAGTGTCCATTTAAGGCTGGGTCGACCTGGCCGGCAAGGTTACGATTGAAACAAAAATCCGGCACCATTCAGATTTGAACCCATGACCTTCGGATCCGCAGGGTTGCATCTAGCCAGTGCATCATGGCGGCTCCCAAAACTGTCTTCACTGCTGTATTTATTTAATTCACTTTCGGGGGGGGGGGGGGGGGGGGGGGAGGGGGCGAGCCTGAGCATTCAGGGCTGCATAGCTAGTACAGCAGTCGCCAAATACATTAAGGCGCAAGGAATTTTCATGCTGTTCTCGACAGGAAAAAAAATGTCCATCGCATTACTGAGGAATTTACACCAAGGTCTCCTACCTGAGAGCTTATTCAACCCTACCAGACTCCAGGCCCTGAACCTAACTGCCTCCTATATCTGAGCTCCTGGGCATTAACGCGAAAAAACCAACATGATATAAAAAATATTAGTTACATGCAAACAAGTGACTAGAATAAAATGAAACTTGGAGACACTGTAGAAAATAGACTAACCTTTTATTTAGCGCCAATATTCCACCTTTGTGTACTAAACCACCCAGCAGGATCAACCTTGTTTTACAAAGTGAACACCAGATTTTGCTGTTTGATGGAAACGCCCCCTTTTCCTACTTTCGATTTATTTCTAGATTTATAATTGTCAAGATTCTCCTCATCATTCCAGCTCTCACTGACTGTATCACTTCCACTGTGAACATATTCTTCATGAAATTATGACTCGGCAGAGTCTAAACAAACCAAAGTATCGATCACCTGTTGGACTGTGAAAAGCCTAGACCTACTTCACTCTCCTGTCCAAGTGCTGGGTTCATCAAACGCTGGCTTTATTGTGAATTTTAAGAATTTTTTTCCACGTAAAGCAACACAAATTTTATCGAAACATATGCGGACAGACATTTTGGAAGACTATCTATGAGATCTGATTAAGATTGACTAGTTATTTTTAGTTTATGACGCATTGTTTTCTTATAGTACGCAAGTTCCCAAAATTAAGGGACAGCGGTTTAGCGGCAGGTTAGGAAATTCCCGCAATAGCAGGCCAGCGGTCAGGTAGAGTTAAGTGTTGTAATTGCTTGGCAGCCACTACAGAACCCCCCCCCCCCCCAAATTATTTCCACATGCCCTAGGACAGGGCTATTCAATTGGCGGCCTGTGGAAGCCTAGCAAGTGGCCTGTGGATCATTGCCAGTTGTACTGTATTAATGACCCTTCTATGCTTGGGCTTAGACTTCTGGCAAGTGACAATCCCCATGAAAAAAATGTTGGCCCCTGAGTAAAATTAGTTTAACAGCTCTGCTCTGGGATATCCAGTGTTTATTTTATACAGTAACCAAATTTGTCATACAGATACCTCACGGCATTCAGTGTGACAGTATACAGACAAATCAGACTGTCTTATTTATTTGAGAAGAGCTGCAACCACATTCTCATAAACTTTGATACCTCCCAACCAACCAGGAAATTACCGCTTGAGGCATGCACCAAATTTAGCCTTTCAGGATAGCAAACGCTGGTACTGGGCATTGTTGTCTTTATATTTTAGCCTCTTTCTTAATTTCCAATTCAGTTTTCTGTTTCTGACTTATTCTAATGTTTGTATTAAGTTGTCTTTGTATACCAGACGTTTTCCTTCGCTTCTTCTTCTTTGCGTTCGGTTTCATATGCTCAGATCAGACCATCAGGTGGTTTGCCTCTATGAACTTGCATGTTAGCTGCAGGTCCTTCACGCTTTCCCCATAGCTTGCTCTGCACACTTTGCTCTTATGGCCATGTTTCTTTTCCAAGTTGTAGGTAGAGTGGGCAGGCCAGCAGAATGTGCTTAGGTGTTGGTGGTCTTGTCCGACAGGCACACAGTGGGGACTGTACAATCTTTATTTTATGCAAGTGGCAGTTGAGCCTGCACTGTCTTGTTCTTAGACAGAAAATTGTTGTATGTTGCTTTCTGTTAAGTCTGTTGATGGGGTCTTGTGGATGTTTACTACTGGTTTGTTCTCTCCTCTCCACAATTCCTTGTATTTTCCCTTCATGAGTGTTTTGATTTCTGGGAATAATGCATGGGTGGGTTGTTTCTCTTATGTTCCATTTTTATCAAGTCTGCCTGCTAACCCATTTCCATGTATGTCGCAGTGAGCTGGGATCCACTGGAGAATGATTTGATCTGTTTTCAGAGTGTTTATCAGGCAGGTTAGTTCTCTCCATGTTGTCTCGTGAATCCCTTTGAGTCACCTGGAGGACTGACATGCAGGGCAGCAAACGCTAGTAATAGGCATTGCTGTCTTTATATTTCAGTCTCTTTCTTTTGATCCCATTTAAGTTTTCTGTTTCTGACTTATTCTAATGTTTGCACTAAGCTGTCTGAATACCAGTCGTTTTTTAATTTCCAAAAACTGCGAGTACCCACCTCTAATCTCTTTGGAATCGCTCCCATCTCGTGTTGACGCAGATGCTGGAAGGTGGTCAGCTCCACATTGGTGTTCTCCATCTGTTCGGTGAGTTCATGAAGCTGCTTCACCAGTCCTTGGGAGCGGGACTAAAACAAGAATTGTCACATCACAAGAAACAAACATCATTCATTTGAACAGAGAAGACACAAACAACAGACTGCACAATTTTACTGCCTGGCATATTACGCTGAATCTCGTCTGGTGCATACTAAAGTAACAAATGATTAAAATGAAGCAAATAAATTAACCCTTCGATCTGAAACACAAAATCAACTAAATTGACAATGGGGAAAAGTGCCTTGATTTAAACATCACTAAATGGACATACTGTTGAATCAATTACTTACAGCTCACAGGGAAAGGCTATTATTTTTATTGTTATTTTCTTATTTTCTGCTTCTAAGCGTGCATCGGCTGTAAACTCAGGAGTAAAGTTTTGATTGTTCGACCACAAGAAAGTCCACTTCTCTACTTACTTTTATTTATCACAAATGAATTGACATAATACCCCAATTAAGACCTAATTCTATAATAAGCGATAGCGTGATTTTTTCAGGATGTTTAAAATATTCTTTTTGTTCTTAGCATTCACTGGCTGTAAACTTCTATAGAAAGTTTTGGTTGTTCGTCCACTTCTAGACTTCGATTTGTTTGCAGAATTTGAGCTTTGCATGCAGATCTGTATTACAAATCTGGTTTATTTCTATGCAGACTGCTGGTTCCTTGCCGCACAGGCAGATGCACTCCAACTTTGAAAGAAAAGCACTAATCAGTTGACTCTCCCGACATGCTTGTTAGGGAGGCCCCGGAACTCCATATGAGGGAGCTTGTAATATAAGCCCTACTCCAAGCCCTAGGTAAGATCATCAGCCAGATGGACAGATATCCTTAGTGGGTTAAAAAACAGGGTGTGGACGTATTGCATTAAAAAGTAATGAATGTATAAAAAAAAATATTAACAAAACCTATAAATGTAAATGTTTTAAACAAATAATATATATTATAATTAAATATTTATTAAAAATATATATGTATAATAAGACATCCCTTGAAAATTAACCTTACAACATTAATATAAGACCTGGTCTTATTTTGAGGGAAACACTGTAAATCTGATATTGCTGTTCTTCTTCTACTTGCCCTTAAAAAAAGGTGGCTGGCAAGCTGGAGTTGTGGTTAACAGATAGGCTGCAATATCTTCACCTTTCAGCCTAACACATACATTTCAGCAAATCCTTAATTAGTTACTTTTATGTCATGCTAGTAAGAAGAAAATGCATTTTTTTTTAATTTTTTTTACTATACTGTATTTTTCCCTGTGTTGGTGCCAGGGAATCAAGACTAAACCCACTGCCTGGCGCTGGAGGCTTCCTTCAAAGTCAGAGTGCATCTGCCTGAGAGGCAAGGAAGGAACAGTCAGCAGACAAATAATCAAGATCTGTAAAACGGATGCACACGCAAAACTCAGGTCCTGGAACAAAGCTGAAGTCCATAAATGGATGAACAACCAGGTTTTTTCCTCTAGGTTTTACAAAAGGTGAACGCATACAGCAATATATTCTATTTTAGCCATGACAACCGCCATGGTGGCCCAGAACCCTAGCGGGGAAACTCTTGTTTACCTGGTAACCTCCCAGGAGGATCTTTAGTTTCTTCTCCAACTTGGCGGCCAGTTTAGCATCCTTCATCATGTGGTTTCTGTTGTTCTGTGGATGGTTTGGTCAAACAATTAATGAGCGATATTCCAGGAGTTTTCAAGGATTTCTTTTCTGTATTTGTTTCTGTTTGCATTTTCAGTATTGTGCCATGCATACAGACTGCTTCATTTGTGTATGTGGGTAAGCACACACAGACTTATAGTAAGCAAATACAAATGCATGTATAAATGTCTGCACACATACAATATAAATAAACACTTTAAAAAAATCAAACGATAAATTAAATGATAAATGAAAATGTTAAAAGAACACAAGACACCTCAAAGGCTAAAACACATATACTGCAATTAGTATAGCCAAATTATACACAGACAAATTAATCATATTTGTGAAGTACGATGTTTACAGATGTTGAATGGCATCAAAGTAGATAGTTACCTAACTTGTAGTGGAAGCCCCTCCCAGATTGAAATGTGAAATAAGCAATACTGACTTACAAGCAACCATCAATGTCAGTACCTCCCACAAAAGGTTAGTGTTAACCCCTGGTTTGCAAGCAAACTGAAATACCATGCCTCAAAATTGTCTACGAAAAACATGTGCGTCAAACTGTTAAGGTATCACTACTGCCTGTATTCACCATTATTTAGGGTGAATGATTGGAGAAATTGGGGGGGGGGGGGGGGGGTCCGAGAGCCGGAGGATTTAGGGGTGCAGGGCTGGTGCTGTCACCATGGACGGTACAGGTTATGTTTTGTTTACTTGTTGACTGGTTACTCAGAACTGTAGTGTTACTACCTGAGAATTTACAAACATTGGTCTGGTACACTTTCAATAATGGGTTTTGGTCATGAACAGACTTTCTGCATTTCATGTTGAAGTTGTTAATCCTCTCGTACCAAGAAGACTAAATCTATTTACTTCTGGTTGTGACAGTCCCATAAATGCCAATCTATCGGCCTGTCTGCAGTGACCTGTTCTCAAAATGTATAGCTGAATTCCATTGGCTGTGTGTGCCTGCACAGTGTTTAAAAGACCAGGATATGAACAGTGTAACTACAAATAGCTTTTAGAAGGGTTTTCTTTATTGCCCTGATGCCTTTTTTAAAGTCAAGTTAGTACCAAATTGTCCTGTAAGCCTCAGGGATAGAGGTCATGGCATGAACCACCCAAAACATGATTTTTTTAAAGGCTGCAGGGGAATGCTCTCTATTTAAGCTTCACTTGGTTCGTGATTCTTGATTACCTCTTTCCTATATCACAAATTTTTTTTTTGGGGGGGGGGGGGGGATTACAAATGTGAATAATTAAATAAGTACCTCTAATCGTTTTTCTAAAGACTCTATCCTCTCCTTCTTGCTTGCCAGATTGGCTCTTGTGTATCTGTTTTGGCCAGGAAGGAACAGCACTTGGGAGTAACATTCCTCCCATACCTTGGCGAAAGAAATACAAAAATTTTAATTTTAATATATTATGAAACAAAACACTTTCTTTAATCATCATTAAGTAAACAGGTTGAACATCAGAGACCACAAGTTAAACACCAAAGACCAGAGATAAATATTAGAGACCAGAAGTTAAACACCAAAGACCAGAGATAAATATTAGAGACCAGAAGTTAAACACCAAAGACCAGAGATAAATATCAGAGACCACAAGTTAAACACCAAAGACCAGAGATATACATCAGAGACCAGAAGTTAAACATCAAAGACCAGAGATATACATCAGAGACCACAAGTTAAACATCAAAGACCAGAGATATACATCAGAGATCAGAAGTTAAACATCAAAGACCAGAGATAAATATCAAAGGCCAAAAATTAAATATCAGAGACCATACAAAAAAACCAGTGGACAATTTATTACCATCAGCATAAACACAAACTGACAGTTTGTGTCAACATGACATCCTTATCATTAAACAGTGTGACTTTTGTGGCTAGGTGATTTCAACAGTTTCTTAAAGTAAGATGCAGAAAGAAAGAAATCTTAAATTACAAAAAAGCTGCCTGATTTTATTGGAAAGATATCAAACCAAACTAGTTAGAAGTCAACACACCCAACCTAGTAAAACATGATCTAGTATGTGTAAAGTTCTGTGAACTCATTCAAAACTAAGCAACACAACATACCTGGGCAAATGTATCCTGTGAGAGCTCTCCGTGACCCATGCCTTCTTTCACCACCTGCATTTCCTTCTGTAACAGTTCTTCGGCCTGGAGATCAATTGAAACAACAATATGACTTTTTGGTGGGGGTCATTTCCACTGCACATGGATACCTTCATCAGTGTTGGGGAGTCTCAGTGTTGGGGAGTCTTAGTGTTGGGGAGTCTCAGTGCTGCAAGTTGTCAAAATGTTTGCCTCATGCTCGGAAATTTGTGGCTTTGTTTTTGACTGTGCAACTCAGTTTTAAAATGCATTTTTTCACTAATCCTGGGGGCTGTCGCCAGAACTTCAGAGTCCGAGCTTTGTGTGCTGTTCTCAGCAGACAGCCAACTATTGTGCAGAGACTGATTCAGCCATGTAGGATAAAACCCAGTGCAATGAAATCAATTCTCTCATCTTTAACCTCAAAACAATAAGTGCTCTAGCACAAAGAGCAAAGAGTCTCAAATCAGTGCACAATCTGGTGATCACCAAACATGGATCCAAATGTGTGAATATCAAGAGCAACACACGCTATGAATTTGCATAACTGGGTAGGCTTTATAATTGTGGATATTATTCTGGCCTGCTCTTTTTAATATCCAACTGCTATAAGAGGTTTAAAAAAACCCACATAAATATAGGTTGCTTGCATTTCTTGGGTTTGTGCGTCTGTATGTGTCTTCATTTACCTGCATGTTAAGAACCAATATCACAGCCTCGGGACATTCCCATAAGTGTTCAGTCTCTAACTTCAGCAGCAAGCACCGGGTTCCAGCTGCAATGGTACCAGGGGCAGCCTGATCGTATGTGGGTGTGTGTAAGCATGTATGTGGGTGTGTGTGTGTAAGTATGCATGTGGGTGTGTGTGTAAGTATGTATGTGGGTGTGTGTGTGTGTAAGTATATGCAGTGTGCATGTGTGTATGTGTGTACACGCGCGTGTGTGTATGTATGTGTGTACACGCACATTAATGTGTATGTGTACATGGGTATTTTTGAGTGTATATATGATGTGTGTATGCATCATTTCATTATATTTCAGTATATTTTGTTGCAGACAAAAAATGCACGAACATAACATGAATTACTGATAACATGCAACAGTGACGTGCTGCCTTCTCTCTCTCTTAGTGTTGAATGTCAATCAGCCCACACTTGTAGCACCCTCTTCAGACCATGATGAGGTATTTGTACCTCCGTCCACTCGCTACCCAACGACCTTGACCACAGCTAGCTTGTCATACATCATTTTACTACCAAGTAGTGTAGTACCAACGGAGCTGTCTGTCTGTTCATTTCCCAACACACCTGAATTCCTGAGAAAATATCTAAAACATGCTAACCAGCTGGGATCTCTCAAGTGATTGTTGCCACACTCTGCACGGTGCACACCTGTCTTAACTTAACTGCAAATTGTTGGTTCCTTGCCCCTCAGGCAGATGAACTCTGACTTCCAAATTAGTCAACTCTTACAACATGCTTGTTGGAGAGCAGTAGGTCTATTCTTGTTTTGCTTCACCAAAATGGGACCCTGGAACCCGCGCGGGAAACACAGTCTACTAACTTAGCACCATTACCTTATTCATATCACCAGGATCCACTTCTATGTAGGGGTTTTTGTCCAGATAAGCCAAATAAGACGCTTGACTAGCCTTCTGGGGTCCCGAGCCTTTGGAGCCATCAGTAGGGGTGACGACTGCATCATGATACAGCATAATCAACACTTCTTGTTTGATGAGCTCTTCAGCCTGTTGAAAACAATTTAATACACAGGAAATGAACAATTAAATCTCAGAAATTAGGGGGGAAAAAAGTAAATGGGACAAAGCTCAAGCAAGCTGATATGTTCAGGTACTTGGCTACCCTGATAACATCAGATGGATGATGTATTAAAGAAGTTAAATGTAAAATAGCTCAAGCATGGAGGATCATTTGCGTCAAAGTTGATTGGAAGTATATGAGACAGAAGGCTGTTGATAGACATGACTACCAATGCTAAATGGAAGGGACTTTAAGAAGAAGATGCAATAAGTAATAAGCTGTGCTTGCCTTGAGCTGGTTCTCTAGGAGATGATGTGTCTAATGAATGATCTTAGCACACATTCTTAAGATGACATAACTGGGACAAGCTGACACCGACTCCAAAAGTACGATGCAGTTTACTGACATCTCATCACTTACATATATTGTCCCGTCCATGTCCTAATCACAGCTGACACGCACCACATTGTTCAGACGCCAACACGCTGACTTCTCACACATTCATCGACCAGAGTTCGGCACCTTCAGGTCAACATCGCCGCATAGATGTATCTGGTCATCTCCTCAAGCTTCACACAACCTGGCTTGGCTAGACTTGGCTTTGATGGATGTTTGTCATCTGGTCTTCCTCTCACAACATTAGTTTCACGTTTTCATTCTCACAAACTCTCACATCCTCTCGTTCTGACGGTCAACACATACTAACTGATCAGACTGGTGTCTGACCTTATACCCAGTGTTCGTTCCACGTGGCAACACGTGGTTCTCCTTGGGTTCCACGTGATAACTCGTGGTCGTCTCCTATCTTGAAAACCTCGGTTAATCCGAGCATCTGGCTTCTCTCTGTATTATTGTTAGCTTGGGCCATTCCCCCCAACTTTCCTAATCAGGCTGAAAATATCCCCCATTACAGAAGAATTAGAAACAGACATATATTAAAAGAAAATAACCCCCCTCCCCCTTCCATTATGATCAAGAAATATCCCCCAAAATAAACGTTACTGAGGGTCAGCAGCACAAGAATTATTGCATGTGACATAAAACCAGGCTGTGAATCCTGGTCAATTAGTAGACAATTAAATCAGGGCAACAGTCCTCATCTTCAAGGTTTCTTCCCCTCACTCCATACCCAAACAATCTTCTTTAAGCCTCTCCCTACCCTGACAACAAGCTGTTAGGAATCTTTTGATGCCGTCTTCCTCTGTCTCTTTTCTCCACAGATCTTTCTGGCCTTCATGACATGTTCCAGTTTCCTGCTTCTCATTATATGACACAAGAAAATCCTGCCTAGTCTCTTTCTGCTATTTGTGATAAGTCGTCTCTGAGCCCTTCACCACTTTCAAAACATCTGGGTTTTGTTAATATCCCCACATGAAACCCTTTAAAAAAAAAAGGGGGGGGGGGGGGAACAATCACACATGGCACACTAACGAATGAAGTAGAAATAGTCCACCATAGATGGTAGTGTTTTTGGGAAAGGAGAGAGTTAAGCAAATGATCACAAAATAATAATACCTTTTGTAGCTCAGTCAAGGGTGGATCATTAGGACCAGAGGGCCTCATAATATTTGTATTGACATCAGAAGGTCGGGGCAAGTCTCTCTGAATGACCTGAGATCGCTGTTTCAGCTCTGCCAATCGTTTCTGCTCTTTCTCCCAGTCTGCTCTCTCATCTATATCTGCCTGGTCCTCTACCGAATGACGAGCCCCGCGGATATCTCCATCTGCACCGTGCTCGTCTTCGGGTACGACAATCTCGTAATCGTTTTTAGGAGTCGGAAGGCTGGCCAACCCTTTTCTCAGCTGATGCAAGTTGTCAGGCTGTGGACATATGAACACACTGATATATAGATACATATACACAGTAATTGTTTTTCCCATTGGGAATCTAAACAATGGAAACACAAACAATTCCTCTTGTTCTGTGTTCACCTGGCTGAAGCATGTCTATGCCGACTTTGCACAACCATACTGGAGGGAAATGTGTAGAGCAGCAAGACAGCAAGAGGTAGACAACATTACAAGTGGAAGGACAACATCAAAAGATTGGACGAGCATCAGTCTGAGAGAGTGTACAACCAAGACAAGCTACAGAGCCTTCACTATGGAGATGGCAGCTTACTGACTGATGATGCTGACTTTGAAATCAATATAAGAGATTAAAATCAACTCTGCATGGGAGTGGCTAGTAGAGGTGCCTGTCCATCATAGGACTGAGCATACATGGGAATCCCAGTGTGCACTGGAGCTGAACATGATTCGTATTCTTCTTCATTCAATCCAACCCCCATGTGGGTTCTGGTGCCCCATTGTGGGGGAAACAAAAGTAGACCCACCATCTTCCTAACAAACATGTTGTAAGAGTTGACTAATTTTGGGCGTCCTTTGAAGTAAGAATATTTTCTGCCTAGAAGGCAAGGAACCAAGAGTCTGCATACAGATAAGCTAGATATGTGAAACTGTCTTCCCAACAAGCATGTCATAGGAGTCCACTGTTTGGGGGCATCCTTTGAAGTTGGAATATATCTGCTAAGAAACTATCAGTCTGCATACAAATAAATGAAATGTGTGAAACGGATGTACCAGACTGGTGTGGTCATATTGCGGCTGCACTAATTTATAACCACCACCAGCAGTGAGATTTAATCTCAGGGTGTCAAACTTTTGAGGCAGCAGCCGGGAGTGGATAAACAGCATGCATGCTATAGGTGTGTCCATGTACAGTATCTTTTCGAATAAGGAATAAAAACTTCTTGGTCAGGCCATTATATTGCGTTAGGCTAAGACTTTATAAACTACCATATTGCGTCAGGCCAGTGGTCACCAACCATTTTCAGGTGGCGCCCCCTTGGGTACAGGACAAAACCCTTAACGTAATAAAATCTGATCCAAAAAGGAGGAATGTGTAATTAACCTGTAATTAAATGAATGTGTTTTCACATTAATTCAATTGACTGAAAATTTACCCCTGCTCATGAAAATAGAAACATCCTTCGCTTTTTATAAATAATTCAAAATATGTTTTATTTATAATTAAATTATAAAATAAATGATAGTTTTACGGCTTACAACACGTACAATTTCACTCGTTTTCAAAATTGCCCCCCCACCCCTCGGACTGGAGATGAGATCACTGCCTTAGTGCTGCTAAGACTTTTTTTTATCGTTTAAAAAAAAAAGCACAAAAGAGTTTCTGAACATTGTTTCATGCTACACAATGTCAAAAGCAGACAACCGCAACACCTCGACCACCAATTCCAAAGATCCATATAGGGAAAGAACCAAACACAAAGTGTACATGCCTACGAAGTACTTCTACTCATAAAGAATCACCTGAAAGAATCTATCCCTCATCTCCTCATCCTCATTAATGTTCAGCTTGTCTCTCAGTGGAGTGGACATCGGGGTCGACTGGTCAGTGTTTGGCCTCAGGATGCCTGACCGTGGTGTCAGACCTGTAGAATGAGGTACAAAATCTCATATTATCTACAGTGATAAAAAAAACTTCAACTTCCTTAAGTTCTAAATCACAAGTTCGAGGCATAAGAACCAAATAAAATCATTTCCATTATGTTATATTAGCTCTGCTATAAAAAGAATCACCAAACAGGCACTTAAATGGGAAAGAAATGGATTGAAGAAATTAAGAACAAAAAAAACAAGACAATATGATGAGAAAGGTCCGAAGCCCTGCACTGAACTTCATCCATGATACTGAAACAATAGTATAGGACAACAAGAAATGGGGGTATAAACTGAGAACCCTATGTGACACATAATGGCACAACATGATGATGGATTATGCTGATTAAAAAACAAAACAAACAAACGGCATTTGAGAAAAAAGAGAAAAAAAAACATCAACGGCATTCCAACTGCTCAGCTGATCCTCTTCTACCCTGAGGTGTAGAGGTTTGCCAAGGAGATCACCAGACTTCTCTATCGGCAATTTTTTTGTGTGGTTTTGTTCCATTTCAATCCTTGGTCCGTCAGAGACTTCGTTCCAATTATTTCATATCTATTATCTGCCATTACAGATTAAGTCGGTGTCTGTGGTTTAGGCGCTTCAAAATGCCGAATCCCAGACACAGGTAGCATAACAGATATTTGCCCAGAAAAGTTAAAAACACAATGCTGGTGTTGGTTCTGCAATGTTCTGTAAAGAACACATAATTAACTGCAAATCCACATTATTTAACTGCAATTTTAAACAAAAGCAAACTGGCATGCACAAAACTCTCAAGTTACCTGTGTCTAGTCGGCCAGGTGTTCTCATTGGGGTGCCAAGAATGGTGTTTGGTGTCTGAACTGCTTGTCGCTGTGGGGTGACTCCACTAAAATCACTATCATGAAGTGGTGTATTCAGTCCACCTTTAAGGGGTGTGTCCACATTGGTCAGAGCCATTATGTTTTGTGCTTCCTGCATGGACAAACATAAATGTGTCAATTAATTGAAAAATCATCTTCATTCATTAATGTATGTACTCACACAAAAATCATCCCCATTCGTTAATGTGTTTATTCATATAAACATCATTCTCTTTCATTATTGTGTGTATTAATTTTTTTTAAATCTCCATAACCATTCATTATAGTGTGTATTAACACAAAAATCACCATCCCCACACAATAATGTGCGAATTATTTAATTAATATTAAAAAATCCCTATCCTCATTTATGATGTGTGTATTAATAAAAAAAATCACCATCCATTCATGAATGTGTGTATTATTATAAAAATCACCATCTCCACTCATTCATTAATGTGTGTATTAATATAAAAATCCTGATCCCTGATCATTAATGTGTTTTAACACAAAAATCACCGTCCCCATTCATGAATGTGCATATTAATAAATTAATAACAAAAAATCCCCATCCCCATTCACTGATGTGTGTAATATAACAATCACCATCTCCATTCATCAATGTGTGTATTAATATAAAAATCACCATCCCCGATCATTAATCTGTGTATTCATATAAAAATCACCATCCTTACAGCCAGTGAAAATTATTAAGAAGATTCTTAAACCAGTAATCAACATGCCAGAATCCAAAAACACCGAGCCCAGTTTGACCCTTTATTGTCTCTTATGGCATGCTGGGTAGGGTATGGTGTTACTATACTGTGCCTCCTGTAAGGACTCTGATAACAAACAAGTGAGATATACATGGAGACTGACTCATCTGCAGAGGGCAGCAGGTATGACCAGACGAGATGAAATCAGAATTGCAGACATATGAGAAAAGTCAGCGCAGAACTGATTCTAAATTACATACAAATACAGCATATTGTCAGGAACCTAATTGTCTAGGGTTCGATTCCATTGGCTCTGCTACAGGCTAATGACAGGAAAACACTTGAAAAACACACTCAAGCCAAACACTGGTTGCAACACACACACAATCTTTATTATCAATGATATAAATGTGATGGAAAAACCCCTTAGGAGGGGTAGCGCTCCTTATTCTAAAACCAGGCCGCGTCTTAACTTTAAAATCGCTTAGAGGCGCCTTTACACGTTCATGATATAAGCTCTGAGCCGCTACAACTCTCCCGTACAGCGCCAACTCAACCCGCTGTCTCCCGATGCCAAAGACGCCATGGCTCACGCCACGTGTAGGCCTAGGTGCGTCGACAGTGCTAACGCCACCAACAATGCATGATCTGGTTAATAGTACACCGAATGCTGATAAAAATGTTCATACCAAGTTGTCTGCCCACTTAGAAAGCATGCCTTCTGACGCCATACTATGCCAGGCATACACCAAATGAGAAGAAAGACAAAAAGCACAAGGCAGACCAAGAACAAGATAGAAAAATGACATCAGAGAAACTCTAGAAGAGCACTATTTGTTTATTGTCCAGGCGGTCAGAAGAGCGAGAAGCAGAACCTTATATCTCCCTTGACACCCAAAGAGGAAGCGAAGAAGAAGACTGACCTGTAAAATGGAATCCTGTGTCGCAGGTGTCCGAGGTGTACGCATGTGGCCAGGTGTGACATTATACTCCTGCAGCAAGCCTCGTGAGGCAGAATCCTCTTTGCCAGCCTCCTCAGCCTGTTGTCTGGCGTACTCATTAGCTTGACCAACTTTGATCACCTGCACGAGAGATACAGATTTTATAATGGTGTTTAATTTTGCTGCAATCTATATATTCTACTAAAATCTGCAGATGAGAAAATCTTCTGAAACTGTTTATACATTCTGTTAAATTTTACAGAAATTGTAACAACCCATTTGTTCTGCTAAAATCTGCAGAATTTACTATAACTAATTGGGAGCCACCGCGGTGGAGCGGCTAGGTGCTCGCCTGCGAATCAGAAGGTCGTGGGTTCACTCCCTGGCGGAGCCTGACTTTAACACACACAAAAATGACCTTGGCACCCAGCCTTAAGTGGGTATCAGGTTCAGTCCCAGGAAGTAAAGGCAGCAGTCATGATTCTGACCACATCACCCATCTTGTGCCAATTGGTCATTAAAATATAGGCTAGTCCTATATGCCCTATACGCCTAAAAGGCGTGGAAAAGGGCTTACTTACTGAACTATAATTGATTAAAATATACAGAAGTTGCTATAATCTAATGAATTTGATAAAATCTATAAAAATTGCCAAAATCAGCTTCTTCTTCGTTCACCGGCTGTGAATTCCGGCGAAAGGTCCCGGTTAATCATCCGCTTGGACTTTTGGCTTTTACCTGGACCTGAGTTTTGCATGTACAACCCTTTTACTGGCTTTTGCCATTCCCTGCCTCAGGGGAAGATGTACTCCGACTTCGAGGGACATATATTCTGCTTAAATCTATAAAAGATGATAACATCTACTGAAACTACTAATCCATTCATTCTGCTAAAATCTAAAGAAATTGTCATAATCCATATATTCTGCTAAAATATGCAGAATTTACTATCAACTACATACTCTATTAAAATCCATAGAAGCTGCAATCATCTACTGAATTTGCTATTACGTTAGTCAACAGATCTTCCTCGCTGTACATCGAACAGCTCAGTTCACAGGTATTTAGACTACCTAAGTTTATCATGTAACGTGCATTTGCTGATGACATCTCTAATGAGTTTGTTAATTTTCCTGTGTTAGCAAATTAACTATTAATTACATATGTTTGCTCCTCTTCAAGTTTTGACAAGACAAAGGTTATTACACTAGATTACCTCTTCAAGTTTTGACAAGACAAAGGTTATTTTGACAAGACAAAGGTTATGTTGACGAGACAAAGGTTATGACATTAGATTACCTCTTCAAGTTTTGACCAGACAAAGGTTATGACATTAGATTACCTCTTCAAGTTTTGACAAGACAAAGGTTATGACATTAGATTACCTCTTCAAGTTTTGACAAGACAAAGGTTATGACATTAGATTACCTCTTCAAGCTCAGATTCTGATATCTGAGGTGCTGGCAGAACAAGCTTGCTTCTTTTCTTCACTGGTTCCTGGAAGCTGTCAGATAAAGGAGATAAGTAAAAAAAAAAACGGTTACAAGCTGGACAACCATTGCCAGAACACTTACAAGCTGGATAACCATTGTCAGAACACTTACAAGCTGGATAACCTTTGTTAGAACATTGTTAAATGCTGGACAACCATTGTTAGAACACTTACGAGCTGGACAACCATTGTTAGAACACTTACAAGCTGGACAACTATTGTTAGAACACTTACAAGATGGACAACCATTGTTAGAACACTTACAAGCTAGACAACCATTGTTAGAACACTTACAAGCTAGACAACCATTGTTAGAACACTTACAAGCTAGACAACCATTGTTAGAACACTTACAAGCTAGACAACCATTGTTAGAACACTTACAAGCTAGACAACCATTGTTAGAACACTGTTACAAGCTGGACAACCGTTGTTAGAACACTGTTACAAGCTGGACAACCATTGTTAGAACACTGTTACAAGCTGGACAACCATTGTTAGAACACTGTTACAAGTTGGACAACCATTGTTAGAACACTGTTACAAGCTGGACAACCATTGTTAGAACACTGTTACAAGCTGGACAACCATTGTTAGAACACTGTTATATGCTAGACAACCATTGTTAGAACACTGTTATATGCTAGACAACCATTGTTAGAACACTGTTATATGCTGGACAACCATTGTTAGAACACTGTTATATGCTAGACAACCATTGTTAGAACACTGTTATATGCTAGACAACCATTGTTAGAACACTGTTATATGCTAGACAACCATTGTTAGAACACTGTTATATGCTAGACAACCATTGTTAGAACACTGTTATATGCTAGACAACCATTGTTAGAACACTGTTACAAGCTGGACAACCATTGTTAGAACACTGTTATATGCTAGACAACCATTGTTAGAACACTGTTACAAGCTGGACAACCATTGTTAGAACACTGTTATATGCTAGACAACCATTGTTAGAACACTGTTATATGCTAGACAACCATTGTTAGAACACTGTTATATGCTGGACAACCATTGTTAGAACACTGTTACATGCTAGACAACCACTGTTAGAACACTGTTACAAGCTGGACAACCATTGTTAGAACACTGTTATATGCTAGACAACCATTGTTAGAACACTGTTACATGCTAGACAACCATTGTTAGAACACTGTTATATGCTGGACAACCATTGTTAGAACACTGTTATATGCTAGACAACCATTGTTAGAACACTGTTACATGCTAGACAACCATTGTTAGAACACTGTTACAAGCTGGACAACCATTGTTAGAACACTGTTACATGCTAGACAACCGTTGTTAGAACACTGTTACATGCTAGACAACCATTGTTAGAACACTGTTACAAGCTGGACAACCATTGTTAGAACACTGTTACAAGCTGGACAACCACTGTTAGAACACTGTTACAAGTTGGACAACCATTGTTAGAACACTGTTACAAGCTAGACAACCATTGTTAGAACACTGTTACAAGCTGGACAACCATTGTTAGAACACTGTTACAAGCTGGACAACCATTGTTAGAACACTGTTACAAGCTGGACAACCATTGTTAGAACACTGTTACAAGCTAGACAACCATTGTTAGAACACTGTTACAAGCTGGACAACCATTGTTAGAACACTGTTACAAGCTAGACAACCACTGTTAGAACACTGTTACAAGCTGGACAACCATTGTTAGAACACTGTTACATGCTAGACAACCATTGTTAGAACACTGTTACAAGCTGGACAACCATTGTTACAACACTGTTACATGCTAGACAACCGTTGTTAGAACACTGTTATATGCTAGACAACCATTGTTAGAACACTGTTACATGCTAGACAACCATTGTTACAACACTGTTACATGCTAGACAACCATTGTTACAACACTGTTATATGCTAGACAACCATTGTTAGAACACTGTTACATGCTAGACAACCATTGTTAGAACACTGTTACAAGCTGGACAACCATTGTTAGAACACTGTTACATGCTAGACAACCGTTGTTAGAACACTGTTACATGCTAGACAACCGTTGTTAGAACACTGTTATATGCTAGACAACCATTGTTAGAACACTGTTACATGCTGGACAACCATTATTAGAACAACTGTTACAAGCTGGACAACCATTGTTAGAACACTGTTACATGCTAGACAACCATTGTTAGAACACTGTTACATGCTAGACAACCATTGTTACAACACTGTTACATGCTAGACAACCGTTGTTAGAACACTGTTACATGCTAGACAACCGTTGTTAGAACACTGTTATATGCTAGACAACCATTGTTAGAACACTGTTACAAGCTGGACAACCATTGTTAGAACACTGTTACATGCTAGACAACCATTGTTAGAACACTGTTACATGCTAGACAACCACTGTTAGAACACTGTTACATGCTAGACAACCATTGTTAGAACACTGTTACATGCTAGAAAACCACTGTTACAACACTGTTATATGCTAGACAACCATTGTTAGAACACTGTTACAAGCTGGACAACCACTGTTAGAACACTGTTATATGCTAGACAACCATTGTTAGAACACTGTTATATGCTAGACAACCATTGTTAGAACACTGTTACATGCTAGACAACCATTGTTAGAACACTGTTATATGCTAGACAACCATTGTTAGAACACTGTTACATGCTAGACAACCATTGTTAGAACACTGTTACATGCTAGACAACCATTGTTAGAACACTGTTATATGCTAGACAACCATTGTTAGAACACTGTTATATGCTAGACAACCATTGTTAGAACACTGTTATATGCTAGACAACCATTGTTAGAACACTGTTACATGCTAGACAACCATTGTTAGAACACTGTTACAAGCTGGACAACCATTGTTAGAACACTGTTACAAGCTGGACAACCATTGTTAGAACACTGTTACAAGCTGGACAACCATTGTTAGAACACTGTTACAAGCTGGACAACCATTGTTAGAACACTGTTACAAGCTAGACAACCATTGTTAGAACACTGTTACAAGCTGGACAACCATTGTTAGAACACTGTTACAAGCTAGACAACCACTGTTAGAACACTGTTACAAGCTGGACAACCATTGTTAGAACACTGTTACAAGCTGGACAACCATTGTTAGAACACTGTTACAAGCTGGACAACCATTGTTACAACACTGTTACATGCTAGACAACCGTTGTTAGAACACTGTTATATGCTAGACAACCATTGTTAGAACACTGTTACATGCTAGACAACCATTGTTACAACACTGTTACATGCTAGACAACCATTGTTACAACACTGTTATATGCTAGACAACCATTGTTAGAACACTGTTACAAGCTGGACAACCATTGTTAGAACACTGTTACATGCTAGACAACCGTTGTTAGAACACTGTTACATGCTAGACAACCGTTGTTAGAACACTGTTACATGCTAGACAACCGTTGTTAGAACACTGTTATATGCTAGACAACCATTGTTAGAACACTGTTACATGCTGGACAACCATTATTAGAACAACTGTTACAAGCTGGACAACCATTGTTAGAACACTGTTACATGCTAGACAACCATTGTTAGAACACTGTTACATGCTAGACAACCATTGTTACAACACTGTTACATGCTAGACAACCGTTGTTAGAACACTGTTACATGCTAGACAACCGTTGTTAGAACACTGTTATATGCTAGACAACCATTGTTAGAACACTGTTACAAGCTGGACAACCATTGTTAGAACACTGTTACATGCTAGACAACCATTGTTAGAACACTGTTACATGCTAGACAACCACTGTTAGAACACTGTTACATGCTAGACAACCATTGTTAGAACACTGTTACATGCTAGACAACCACTGTTACAACACTGTTATATGCTAGACAACCATTGTTAGAACACTGTTACAAGCTGGACAACCACTGTTAGAACACTGTTATATGCTAGACAACCATTGTTAGAACACTGTTATATGCTAGACAACCATTGTTAGAACACTGTTACATGCTAGACAACCATTGTTAGAACACTGTTATATGCTAGACAACCATTGTTAGAACACTGTTATATGCTAGACAACCATTGTTAGAACACTGTTACATGCTAGACAACCATTGTTAGAACACTGTTATATGCTAGACAACCATTGTTAGAACACTGTTATATGCTAGACAACCATTGTTAGAACACTGTTACATGCTAGACAACCATTGTTAGAACACTGTTACAAGCTGGACAACCATTGTTAGAACACTGTTATATGCTAGACAACCATTGTTAGAACACTGTTATATGCTAGACAACCATTGTTAGAACACTGTTATATGCTAGACAACCATTGTTAGAACACTGTTACATGCTAGACAACCATTGTTAGAACACTGTTATATGCTAGACAACCATTGTTAGAACACTGTTATATGCTAGACAACCATTGTTAGAACACTGTTATATGCTAGACAACCATTGTTAGAACACTGTTACATGCTAGACAACCATTGTTAGAACACTGTTATATGCTAGACAACCATTGTTAGAACACTGTTATATGCTAGACAACCATTGTTAGAACACTGTTACATGCTAGACAACCATTGTTAGAACACTGTTATATGCTAGACAACCACTGTTAGAACACTGTTATATGCTAGACAACCATTGTTAGAACACTGTTATATGCTAGACAACCATTGTTAGAACACTGTTATATGCTAGACAACCATTGTTAGAACACTGTTACAAGCTGGACAACCATTGTTAGAACACTGTTACATGCTAGACAACCGTTGTTAGAACACTGTTATATGCTAGACAACCATTGTTAGAACACTGTTACATGCTAGACAACCATTGTTACAACACTGTTACATGCTAGACAACCATTGTTACAACACTGTTATATGCTAGACAACCATTGTTAGAACACTGTTACATGCTAGACAATCATTGTTAGAACACTGTTACATGCTAGACAACCATTGT